CCTGGGTTGTATTGTCAGGGGCAGTTGACTTGAAGGTGTTCAGCCTCTCAAGGTGTCCCTTCATGAGGTCAGCTTCAGTGGAGGGTAAGGAATCTCCCTCACCCAGGCCTCCCTGACCCACAGTGGGCAGGGGCGTCCCTGACTGGCTGGCTAAGTAGCAGCTCTGCAGAAAAAGACCTGGGGGTTACAATGGACAAAAAACTGAATATAAGCCAACAGTGTGCCCTTGTTGCCAAGAAGACTAATGGCATACTGGGCTGCATTGGTAGGTGTGTTGCCAGCAGGGCAAAGGATATGATTATTCCCCTCTATTCAGCACTGGTGAGGCCACATCTGGAGTACATGTTCAGTTTTTGCCTCCCCTCCCCAATTGAAAGAATGGGAATAAATTGAAGAGCATCCAGCAGAGGGTGATGAAAATGATTAGGGGGCTGGGGGACATGACTTGTGAGAAAAGCGTGAGGGAACTGGGGTTATTTATTCTAGAGAAGAGAAGGCTGAGGGGGATTTAATAGCAGCCTTCAACTACCTGAAGGGGGGGTTTCAAAGAAGATGGAGCTGGACTGTTCTCAGTGGTGGCAGGTGACAGAACAAGCAATGGTCTCGAGTTGCAGCAAGGGAAGTTTTGGTTAGATATTAGGAAATTTTTTCTCAGTAGGAGGGTAGTAAAACCCAGAGAGGTGGTGGAAACTCCATCCTTCCAGGTTTTTAAGATCCGGCTAGACAGAGCCTTGGCTAGGATGATTTAGTTGGCGATGGTCTTGCTTTGAGCAGGGGTTTGGATTAGATGATTTCCAGAGGTCCCTTCCAACCCTGACTTTCTATGATTCTGTGGTTTTCCAAGGGGTGCCTGGAGTCTAAAAAGATTGAGAACCACTGGGTTAGATGCACCCAACCTGAGTAAAAGCCATAGAACGGCTCTTCAAGCTGGACTAAACCCTGATCCACTGGCTCCATCTACTGGACCCGTAGGGAACATGGTTTGGTACTTTGAATAGGTGCTGATAGCCTATGCTATGGACAACAGACTTAATATTTTACCACCTTGAAAAAGGAGAGGGAGTTGCTGGCCAGTAGTGTAACCATCAGTGGAGATGTGATCTGCTTTCCTTGAATATCTCTGCTGTAATGCTGAGGGAAGTCCCCTTTGAAGACACTTAGCTTCAAATTGCTTTGAGTTTAGCCAAGCTAGGAGCCAGCACTATCTTATTCTGTGCGGCTGTCTGAGAATAGGCTGGAGTTTCCACAAACACCCTCTCCTAGAGATGCAGATCAATACAGGGGTGCCTAGATTTCTGGAGAATCAAAATATATCTTTGAATTACAGGCCAGTATTAGAAAAGTGTGTTGTGTTAGTTACTTGGTTCACAATAAACTTCCCACTCCCCATACATTCTCAGCCCAAAGCAAAGGGTTACCTTTCTGCAGCAATTGAACCACTAACTCCATACGTGGGTTGCATCCAGCATTATGCAGTGAGGCTGGTTACTGGTAGAGCCACCACTGTTCCTGTCTTGTGCGTCTGCTCAGTCACAGACTTACGTTGTCCTGATACGTGCCTTTGACCAGGGCTTGTAGTTTGGAGATTGCCAGGGCTTACACTTTGTGCTCTTCCAGAGGCTGCACAAGTACTACACATGGCTGACATTGCACCCCTAAGCTGGGGGAGAGTGACTTTGTTCCAAATAGAAATTTCTCACCTTCAGGATTTAGTATGGGCAATAGAAATGCACCCATGGACTATGACCTGGCATGTGTGTGACTGTGCCCTCCCTTTCCCAACAAATGCATGCAATCATTGTGAAACACACCCTTGTTGTGAAATAATTCCTCAGCTGAGATTTCTAGAAGTCTCACAGCAATACACATACTGGCAAATAGAGCCAGGTGCCCCCATGGTCTGATCAGGTCTTGCACACTGCTTCTGAGTAGGGCTTGAGTTATATGCAACACGTGCATTACAGTGGGCTCTCCTGCAATGCGGACTCAAAGGGCACGTCCACACATGCGGACATGTGGTAGAAAAAGCCTTGGCTAAAATGATCTAGTTGGAGATGGTCCTGCTTTGAGATGACTTCCAGAGGTCCCTTCCAACCCTAATTTTTTATGATTCAACGAATAGGAACTAATAGCAGTCCTTTGGCTTCCTTTATGCTTTGGGAGATTCACTCAAGTGGGATGATTTTAAGTGACCTCTCTACATCTACTTGCTTTAAAACAGACAAGGCTGGCTGGTCATAGCATTAAAAAAAAAGCAAATTTCGTATATATTTCTCAGATGTGCCCCACCAGCTCTGCCCCTTGGTGCTGGTTGGTGGAGAGGCCCTGGCAGGGGATGAGGTACAAGGGAGCAGCTACCATCTTGTCTGCTGCCCTCTGTGCTGCCCCACCAGCCAGCACCTTCTTCCCTTGGGTGGATGGGTAGGCTGTGAGGCCAGGCTGTGGAAGCAAGGACTGTGGAAGCTAGCATTTTATTTTTATGTTATTTTTTAAGTTGATTTGGAAGACAATCCTGGATTCCTGAGTTTCCACACAACTGTGAATTCAGTAGACCCACAATAGTCAGCATGGCGAATATGTGGATTCAGATATTTGGGATCCCCCGATAGGCTTGAAAAGAAACTCTCTCCCTGCAGGAGGTATCTGTTAAATCCCTGCTTCAAGGCTTCTGTTGATTGCCTGGAGGCAACACTTTCTTTCTCCTCCAGGAATACCTTCTGGCTTCTGGGCTGGGTGCAAATGGGGGAGTGTGTGCGTGAGCATGTATGTGCACATATGTGCACACACACACACCCTCCTTCCTTTGAAGCAGTGGACATTTAACAGCAGAGTTTGTCTAGTGCACCAGTTCTTGAACTTGGAAACCTGTCAAACACCTATTTGCTTAATTTGCAGCAAGGTATTGGCAGTGTCCTTATTTACCCTGCTCTCCACCAGTGGCATTACATAGGAGTCTTGTGTGACTGGTAATTGAGAGGGGTGGATGATCTTGTGAGCCCACTGGACAATGGACAGCCTGAGAACACAGGAGACTGGGCTCTTGTCCAGGAGGCCCCTTTTAGTCTGTGATGACCCTGCATTTTCTGCCATGGATTCAGTTACAAAACATCTGTAGAAACGCACGTAGCCAAGTAGCTCAGGGGGCAGACTGCAGTTTAGCTATGAAAGCCACGTAGCTATGCTACCATTTGCCAAGATAACAGTTTATTGACAGTGGTTACAAGGGCAATTTATACTTGGCTGGCACCCAGAGATGTGCTCAGATCTTGCACAACTAGAGCAGATCAGACCAAATGTAAAAAGGGCCCTTGGTATGCTGTAGCATTAATACAGTATATCTCTGACTGCTAAGGGAAGGGACAGAAGACACAGACTGCATGTTACCAGGAAAGGATGGTTTATTTGCTGGACTGAAAAAAAAGCGAAATCAAGCAATTGCAAGCAAACAAAAAAACCCCAACCCAGTCCAACCCAAGAGAAACAGCTCTATATTAAAGTCTTGGCTCTGTAGCTCATCTTCAGCATAGGCTTCAGTAGTGGAGCTCTCAGAAGGGAAATTTCTGATTAACAAACTTTTGTTCAAAAGGCACATAGCAGGTGGGATCCTGCCTTATCCAGCATTTGACTGTTGCAAGAAAGCAGTGTCCACAGCTCAGCTATTGACACCCCCATGGCCCATATTACCCAGGGCTCCCTTATCTGCTGTTTGCTGTGTAATGGAATCTACCTTTGAAGCCTGAATAACTTCACCTCTGCCCTAAAACCGGTATTTTATTGGGACACACCCAACCACCTGAAAATTTAGTACTTAGGCAACTCTCACCCTTCTCCTCAATTAGCAAATCTCATACATTTCTGCTTTATAAAAGGGACATGTGGGGCAAAAAGAAGTGGGTGACTGGTTTAATATAAAAATCAAGACTTCACATGAATGTAATGCCACCAGCCAGCTTGTCTCAAGCACAGACAATACGAGACTGCTGATCACATGGCTTAAGAGAACCAAGCATCTGTTGTGACTTGAGCCACAACTTTGAGCCAGGTGCAAGGGAGTGCAATGAGACAGCTAACAGCTGTGATCAGAAAGGAAAGTGAAGACAGGAGGTATTGGGTTTACCTAGTAGGATATCTACTCCCCAGAGCCCCCTCATGCCCTCCAACATGCTTTGGGCATGCCAAAAGAACCAATCTAATGAAGCCACATGATCAGCAGTCCAGCAAGCCGACTCCATCACTTGGGGTGGGGGGTATAACGGAGGTACTTCTTGCCCGACGGGAGTTCCTTGGTGAAGATGCCTGCAGGGAAGAGTTTTTTGGCCTCATCATCAGGTAAGCTGGGAATAACCATGACGCTGGTGTCAGGCTGGCAGGAAACAGATAGGAGATGCTTTAGTGAAGCAGAGCAGGCTGCTGGCCTTGCAGAACATCAGCTGTACACAGCAAAGCATCAGCCCTCCCACCAATGCTCTATTAATTCTTAAACAAGATTTAAACCTCAGTCACTAAGTAAAGTGACTCTCCTATGAGAAACAGTGAAAGGTTAAGCTTTCCCTGCCACAAGGAAGTATAGCTCCACTCTGAGGCAGAAGTACAAAAAGACTGGGAGCTGGCACATACAGTGCTGCTGCCAGAAAGAAGAAACTATGTTCCCTGCTGTGAGAATCCCTGGGGTGACCTTGGCAGTGATTCAAATGTGTCAGACTTATGTGATAACGTGAGGACTCTGCCCATCCAGCTTCTGAATGGTGGTGGGTGAACTATGTCTTCACTATGCTGCAAACACCATTTGAATGTACAACTCTGTACAAGCTGCTCCTCTCTTGTTCTTTTACCCCCATTTGGGGCTAAATACTAAGGAGTGGAGGCACAGGGCTAACAAGGGAGGTTTATTAACTTAGGAACACTCCCAATCTCATGCAATTGCTCTAACAGTAGGCTCTCTCCTTCCTTATGGAACCAGTCCTCCTAGGTAAGAGGTCACTAGTAACACCTGCTGGAGAGCTGCAGGGCTGGTTCAGATCAAGAGGTCTACACACAGGGTGGAGTGGGGATGCTCTAACTCTGAAGAGTATTTTGCTAGCTCAAGGTTATGGGAGTTTTGCTGGAGCTTCATAGTGGAAGGAGGGGACCCTGCTGTCCTGAATACAGGCAGGGCCTTTGGATTCTTATGAGAAGGGTGAGTGAGCAGAAGGGATGCGAAGTATGCAGAGCAGGATACCCATCTAGATTTCTGTCATTCTCATGTCACTCAGCAAACATGTGGAGTTCCTGAGCAAGGCCCACAGAAGCCAGCTCATACCTATTGCAAACTCCTGAAGAATAAACCCAGAAACCAGGTAGTGGTGATCCCTGGGAAAGGATGGACTTAAATTGTGGAGGTGGGGGAGTCTGAGCAATCTGTCTCCAGGGGGACAGGCAATTGGACTGTGGGATCTCTGCTCTCAGTGGGGAGTGCTGCACAGTTTGTATCCTGAGAGTGAGAATAAGGCCACAAGCCAGACCCTGTTCAGGTCTGAAGTTCATGAAGGAATGTAGTAGCTGCAATTCTGTAAGTGCCCAGCATGGGGTACTGACCAGACCTGAGAGCTGAAGCAGGTGCCCATCATTAACATGCACATTTGGCAGGCCCATTGTGCAGACTAATAACACCAAAAACAAGAGGGAGGAGGGTGCAGCCTGATAAACAACTGGCAGGCAGGTGCTGAAATAGAGGTTCCTCCTAGCCCTACCTTTATGATTTCTGTGAGCTGATTTTATTTCCCACCCAATGCAATCTGTGCAGTGCTCAAGTGGGGGAAGTCAATTGTCACTAAGGTCTGGAAGAGAACCGTGCTGCAGGAGGCTGGACGCCCCATGAACTGGCATAATCTTAAAAGCAACCTTCTCCCCCACCTCAAAATGAGTCTCCTACCAAGGCTTGTGCCTCAGGGGAATAAAGCAAACTGTTTTGTTCTGGTTTTCTGATCATTTCTTGAATGCACCAGCAATAAAAATGGTATAGAAACAGTTGAGTTCTGCACAGAGGTAAACCGCATCGGATGTCACAAGAATATGCTGAGCACCATGCTCTATACTTTCAGAAGTGTCTGGTGATACTGGCTGTATCCCCCTGAGTTAAGGGGGAAAACTCAATCCTTTTAGGAAGCTGAGTTCTGATACAGCAGAAGCTGGGTAGTAAGCACAGCCCTTGGGGAGGAAGGTTGGTGTGCTTATATCAGAAGCACCTTGTATGTATATAACCTTGCCTTCCCTTCACCAGTGCAGTAACAAAGACACATGATTCATAGACTGTAAAGGGCTGTAAGGGTGCACAAGTTACTTGCAATGCAATTTCAATGAATTGTTGCTCATTTTTTGCTATCAGGTACACACACACAACTTGCATGGACTGCGCCTGCCTTTTATTAGAATTGCATTGGGCAGAACACTTTGTTAATAACCAGCGATTTGAATAAGAGCTGGTAGCCTACCATAAATCCCAAGATGTTAAGAGTCCTGGAAACAAACTGCAAACCTCCCAGCCAACTTACAAGAAAAATACTATAGCAGTTTACTGCTTTGTTACTGCTAGTACACAATGCTGACTCTCTTTGGATACCACATTGTCACAAAGGTAGAAATATGCTTATAACTAAACAAGATGCGCATACACTATAGCTGACCTGGGCTTTCCCAAGGCATGCTTATACCTGGATCCTACCATATATAAATGCAGCATATAACTTGCATTTGTTTGGGCCCCTCTGCATGTGCAGGTAAAGGTGCAATGGTAATGTACAATCCACACAACTGCACCTCCTACCATGCCACATGATCCCAGGCTCTGGCAAAAAGCAATCTCCTGTGGCGTGGGAGCTCCCTCAGCATCTGTTGTGATCTCCCAGCCCTGTGGGTGCATGAAGCTGGGAGTTTGATGCTGCTGTGATCTCCCAGATGCAGGAATGCGTGAAGCACCTGCCACGGTCTTCCAGTTTTGAGGGTGTATGAAACTCCCAAGGCTGGGAGATCACAGCTGCACCCTGCAGCTGCTGGGACCCAGTGTCCACAGCTGCCAGGGCTGAGAGTTCCCTCAGTTGCAAGATTCCCAACCCTGGCTGGGTATGGTGCACCCCTGCTACTGGGAGTCAATGCAATGATGCAGCTCCCAGTTGCATCACTGCAGGACTTCCAGCCACAGGGGAGACCCTGCTACACTTGCAAATTAAGCTCAATAGCAACCAGCTATAAAGTTAGCACTAAAAGTGCACTGATACGTGGGTCCCATATTGGATTGGCACCAATATAGGGAAAATTGACAGTATCAGAAATTGGCTTTTTTTGCCTGATGTGGCCAATAAATGCCCTGTGCATATGCGCACAGCCACAGCATGTACGTGGCCATGAGTGCAGCCCACAGCATCTGGCTGGTAAGTCTGTTATGGGGGAAGGGGTGTAGGAGGAGGGCACATTGAGGCCCCAGCTCATCCAGGGGATGCAGGCAGCTTCCGCCTCTGAACGCATCCTGGGAGGGTATGGGGGGCATGTGCTCCTGGATCTGTGTGCGGGGCAAAGGCCAGGGGTTGTGCTAGGCTCTTCCCAGTGAGGTGCTGCGCTGTACTTGGGACCAGGTGGCAGTGGTGGTGGGAGGGGAGCTATGGCAAATTTGGGGGCTGTGGCTTGCCCCTATAACCCCTACCCAGTGCTGCTGCTGTCTGACCCAAGCGCAGCCTGGCCCAGCCCCACACCAGGAAGAGCCTGGCGCAGCCCCAGCCCCAAGCAGCAGATCCAGGGGCACACGCCCCCACGCCCTCCCAGGATGCACATAGCAGTGGGAGACACCCTCCACCAGATGAGCCGTGGCTCTGTCCTGCGTCCTGTTGCACCCCAGCTGGGCAGCACCTGCCCTTGCCCCTGCCCCAGCCCCACTCCCTCCCTGGCTGTGGGGGCCTTGATCTGCCCCTCATCCCCCTCTTTCCCCCCCCCCACTCCTTCCCCCACACCAGACTTATTAGCCCGACGCCGCTCTCCAGGCTGTGGGGCTGCATATTGGAATCAAATCAGTATTGGGTGATATGGCTCCTTAAAAATCGGCTATCGGTATCGGCCCAAAAAATCTCTACCAGTGCACCCCTAATTAGTACACATTTTTGGGGTCTAACTTTATAACTGGTTGGAGCTTTTTGTGGCATTATAGGCACTTTGCACGTGTAGCTGGTTTCAAGGTAATTGAGCAATTAACCTGTTAATTGCACAAT